CAACCCCCCATGTAAGGCTTTGCGACCCCCAAGGGGGTCGCGACCCACAGGTTGAAAAACACTGACATAGCTAGTTAGAGCTATGCTCAAAATTTGTACTATTATGTTGAGTGTTTCTCTATCAGCTCTAGCTTATTTGTCTTTGATTAGTCATGGAGGATTTGCATCTGGCTCAACACCTTTGATTGTATCCCACAGATCCTTAGCTCTTAGCAAAATTTATATTTTGAACTTCCATGTTGGTAATTTGCAGCTGCCAGCTTCTCAAGTTAATGAATAGCATTGATTTCAGTCATTGCGATGGTTTCTCTATACACTCATTTCTATTATGTCTAACATGAAATTCCATTTTTCTTGCTTTCCCCTCCTCTCCTTTTTCTTAATAAAATTGCTGTCAGACATATTTACATTTACAATAAAACTTTAACCAACACACTTGAAACCATAATCAAATGACAAAGAAGTTTCTCGATCATTTCATGCTCCTCTGTAAAAAAAGAGTCCACACAGTCAGGCTTTCTCCATAAGACTGTTTCACACCCAAAAATGGAAGCAGAAATTTATTAACAAAAATTAACACAGAGAACATTGATTATTACAATAAAAGATAACAAAAACTGTTGTCATAAATTTTTTTGCTTCCCTTTTGTTGTTTGCTTCAAGTGTCATCAACAAATTTGGTACATTGGAAAATATAAATAATATTAGTTGCTTCTGGTATTAAAACTTTCAAGCAACAGCTATAGTTCTTTCCAACTAACCATTTTGATTTATACAGTGCTATGAATAGCAAAAAACAATAGAACTGTTTCCTTCAAAAGCAAAAATAATTAAAGTGCCTATTTTTTTTCTATTTATTTTTTTAACCCCTTTTCATTCTGATTTTTTCAGAATGTAATCAAATTTTTCATATTTGATATACAATTAATATGCAATAAATTATATATATATATGTCAGTTATTTTTTCAAAACATAAAATAACTTTTTTATCTATATTTTTTATTAATAATTTCATTTCTTCATTTTATTATTTTTAACTATTTATTTAATGATTATTAATAATAATAAATAATAATAATAATAAACAAAACAATTCTGATAATTTCTTTGAAAGAAAAACTTCCAAAGACAATTTCTAAATTTCTATAGATACCATCAGATTACAAAAATAAACTATATTTTCTCTTTATATAAACTATAAAACTATATTTTCTCGCCAAAAACTGCAGAATAATTTTTGTAACAATGCCATCTATCAGAGAAATAGTGAAATAATTGTTTAACACCAGTGAACATATCAGAGATGTTAAAACAGTAGTTTCTAGAGTATTTTTCTTAAGGAATGTAAGACATACACCAGAGCCAACAAAGTGATCACTGAAAATAAATGTATGGAATGCAACAGTGACCAAGAAGGGATTAAACCCTTTTCTTAAAGTATACTTTTTGGTTTCTTTACAAGGACATATAACTGTAGCATACAAAGGAAAGAATATACAAAAAGTTCTGCCACAAATAAAAAGATTGGTAAGTTGGATCCGGTTGGGTCATTGGCTGCATTCAGCAGACTCAACAGTTCTGGAGCTGTTGAGTATTTTTCTGCTAAATGTCCTCTACAGTAACACTCTTTCGAAACATGTTTGATGTTTTGACACCACATTTGGTAGCATCTTTCATTTACACCACCTTTTGCTAGCTGTAACTGATCAAAAATGGCTGCGCCGTTACAAGAGAATACAATTATATTATACAGTAGAACCTCGATTATCCGGACTAATTGGGAATGAATGTAGTCCGGATAAGGAAAAATCCAGATAATCGAAATAAATACTTTAATTTGTCTTTTAATGATAATACAACACGTTTTCTTTTCGATGACATATCAGTAATATTAAAAGTAAATACTGTATTTAAATCGTGATCAAATTTTCAAGAAACAAACGTTCATATTGCATTTGGACTACTACTGACCAACGCTAACAGACTACATATTGTTTAAAAGGCCCTCTAGTGGCGCAAGAAGACGGATTTTATAAAATAAAAAGCAGTTGAAACTGCATTTTTATGAATAAAAATTTGACAAACTATTTAT